AAGCAAGTGGCATCTAGCTCCAATACTCTCTGTCTTCACTGGGTTGCTTTGCCAGCTGACAGCCATCAGCTGTGTGTGTTACATTCCAGACAGGGACCCCTCTAAGCCCCAGTATAACTGCCAGGGAGTAACATAGGAGAGTGGGAATCGCCTACCAGAGGCAGGGAAAGGAAACAAAATCATGAAGTTTGGATTCTGTGTTCCAGCTTTGTTTTCTTCATAATGCAGTTCCCTATGACTCCATTGCAATCTTCTGGAATACTTCTAGAAACCCACTTAGTAGTCTGCGGAGTTACTTGGCCAATATGGTCCTGGAGATAGTCACATTTCAAGGTTTTACTTTTCCTCCTGTTGAGCAGGAAGCAGGGAGACAGAATCATCACCTAAAAGGCAAATATTCCCTAACACAGGGTGAGCATGGTACTGGGGTTTGCACTGGAGGCCTGTGCTCCATTTCTCTGGAGGATGGGATCTTTACTATCAGGATTATTGATGAGACTCTGGCTTCCTTTCCAGAGATGAAGTATTTTTGTCATCATGTCTATTATTCCTCACAAGAACCCAATTAGAAGAGATTGCCTCAACAGAGGAGGCTGATTAAATTCACAGATTTATTGCAATACCACTTTGGGAGTTGTGGAAAATCAGTTTCACTGCTAAGCTGCCTTCCTTTAAAAAAAAATCAAGCTGTGAGCCTGCACCTTTAATTATCCATCTATAACAGAACACAAAATACCCATAACCTTGCAAGCAGCTTAGTCTTCCCCAGAGAGGCTCAGAATGCTTCTTCCGGGCTCATAGCACCTCCCCAAGGGGCAGGTGATGGCTTCTATGTTCATGGGACACAAGGGGAAATTTTGACCCAGCAGTAGGGTAGAGAAGACAGAGGCCTGCTGCCTGTTGACTAAAGAAAAAAGTCAAGCTTTTAAAGAATTAGAGTTAGTTACATTCAGAAGTCTTATAAGGACTATAGACTGAGCCTGGGTATTAATTCAGTTCATAATAGGGCAATATTTCAATTCATAGTTTACATATAGGGGGTGAATATTCAATATGTGCAAAATCGCAGCAAGGTTTGGGTGTGAGAGGACATCTGGGTAGAGATTACAGAAGCATAATTACTAACTTGGCTGGATGTTATCTTGTGTGTAAAAAAAGGCAAGGACTAGGGCCCTTTACCTCTTAAAGAGTATAGTGACTCAGGCAAAAGACATTGCAGATGTGTGGGTTTTGTCTTCAGAGCATCCCTCTGGAGAGCTGCATGTTGTCAGAGTTAAGGGCTTTGTGAAATTATGCTGGAAAGCAGAAATGACCAAACATAGATTCTTACATTTGCTATTCTGTCTCACACCTGGAGACGGGTCAAAAAAGAAGACTTTCCTTTGCAAAGTTTGCAACCGACTTGGGCAAGGAGTCTTTGTTTTAGTTGGGTCCCAGAAAAGCTGCTGTCAAGTAGCAATGATATAAATGTAATCTGATTCTCCATAGAAATGAGGACTGTACTGATGCTGCAATCAATCCTGTCCCCAAACCTCATGCTCCAAAGTTACAGGAGCAGCCACAAGCACCACTTTCAAACTTCTAATTTTCTATTCAAGATAGTTCCTTTTCCCCCAAAGTCTTCTGTTTCTTTAAAGCAGCATTTCCCACACTGTATTTAGCAGAATCTTAACCTCCCAGGGTGTTCTGGAGGAAAAAACAAGGTTTCATGGAGATAAATTTTGCATAGTACTATATGCTCTATACCCCTTTGTTCAAGATCCTTACTAACATACTAAAGATAAGAGCTAACTCTCCATGAAAATCTACCTGAAGCCAAACACTAAGTACTTTTTATGTTTTATGTCATTATATCTTCAAAAAATAATACTCTGAGAAACGTATTAATTTATCCCATTTTACACATGTGGAAATTGAGGTTTGGCGTGGTTAACTGAATTGTCCAGTTAAAAGTACAAAGGCAAAAGGTGGAGCCAGGTTTGAAATCTACTCTCATTCCCAAGTCTGTGCTCTTAATCTCTAAGCTTTAACTTCTTCCCACTAACTATACAGACACTTTCTTATATTGCTGTTAATGTCTTTTTCATTACTGCTTCTTTACACAAATGAGTCCATTCTTAACTGTAGCAGTTAGTCATCTTTTGTTTATTTTTTATTTATTTATTTTTTTTCATGTCATTACATGGGCCAGCTCAGTATCATTTTAGGTAGTATCTTCCCTTAACATCAGGTGTTTCCATTCCTATCTTATTTGGCCTTCGTGTAACCGCTTCAAGCATGCTTTAGTGGATTTTCATCTGTATCTTTGACAGTTTATGGATAAACAGAGATGTAAGGAAGACAGGATGTGACTGAGTTTATTTACCCTGCCTTTGGCAAAGGAGGCTTTGTTCAGTAAATGAAAGTCAGTAAAAAGTAAAAGTAGGATAAAAAGTGATGCCAAGGGCATATAGCTAGTTCTCCATGTTATGTAGGATATGGATTTCTTCCACTATTGAGGTCTTTGTAATTAGTAGATAAGTCATTTTATTGGAAGTGAGAGGTAGGATAAAGAGAGGGAGAGAGAGAAAGTGATTTTGTAACCTTCAGTTTTATCTGAAAGTAATTGTTCACTAAACTTGGAAACCGTGTTGACCACTAATGACCTTACCAAAGCATATACTTGCTCAGGAAATGGGCTGTTTGACAGGGGATAAGAGAAGAATGTGAGTTATTAGCAGTAGCCCTGTCTCAGCAGGGGCAGGGCCAAAAGGAAAAGGTACTAGAAGTGCTATCTTTGGTTCCATTAGATTGCACAGGGTTCCTAATCTCCCCCATCATGCTTGACCCTAACTAAGTCAGTTTCCTTCTACAGCTTTGTGTTCTTTGAGAGCCCACATATGATAAGATTGACCCTCTCCTTCCCCCCTTGATCAGTCGGGACTAATTTAATGAGCATCTACACTGTCCTTCATATGCAGGCCAAATGTCTTGTGTGGCTTGCATCATGTTTGAGGAAGTGTTTTGTGGCTGAGACTGTGCTTAATGCTCTCTAGGGATGACTGATCTCCTTCCATCTTCCCGACGGTCTTACCACATAGAGCCTGTTATGAGCTGTGCTTTAGGAAAGAGTCCACTGAGTCTGAGTGAGGAGAAATGACCTGAAGGACACTCAGCTAGTAGGGCGTAAGCAGGGACACCAACCTCACTGCTTTGATTCTGAAGCCTGCACCCTTTATGACTATCGCATATCCCTGCCTCCCACATGACACGATACGTGAGTGGAAGCTCCTCCACTGCCATCCCATTCTTCCTGCAGGGTATTCTGTTTTGGAAATGTTAGGAAAAAAAAATGTTTGACTCATGTATTAAGAGCAAATGTTATTACTAACTAGGTAAGTGGGACCTCCAGTGCTGCTAGGAAAAAACTAAATCAATCAGGAAATCATTAATTTTGGAGGAAACACTAATTATAGGAATATAAATTCTAGGTAAAATTGCCAAGAACACCAATGTTGCCTGCAGCCCGAGTAGACTTTCTCGAGTTTTAGGCTGTGATTGAGATACTAGAATTCACTTTTATTTCTCTAACTTTGCAAAAGGTACTTGGAACTGGTCTGAAATGTCATTTAATTCTCTCAGTGCATACAGTAAGCCACCTTTTAAAACACAGGTAGCCTCTCATAATCAGGAAAATACCCATAAAGGAGGGGATGAGGGGTGGGGACAATTATACTGCCGTTTTGTTTGTTTGTTTGTTTGTTCGTTTGCTTTGTTTTGTTTTGTTTTTCTAAGGCAGGATCTCACTCTGTCACCCAGGCTGGAGTGCAGTGGCACAATCATGGCTCACTACAGGCTCTAGCTCCTAGGCTCAAGCAATCCTTCCACCGCAGCCTCCTGAGTAGCTGGGACTACAGGCACACACTACCATTTCCAGCTAATATTTGTATTTTTTAAGGAGACAGGGTTTTGCCATGTTACCCAGGCTGGTCTCAAACTCCTGGGCTCAAGTGATCCACCTGCCTCAGCCTCCCAAAGTGCTGGGACTACAGGCATTGAGCCACTGCACCTGGACTATACCACTTTCTTACATTAAACACTTTGAAAATTAAGCAGGAGCTAAGCAGCAACAGAAAGAAATGAACTATTGAGACACACAAAGTCATGGAGGAAAGTTCAATGTATATTGCTATGTGAAAGACATCCATCTAAAAAGGCTATGTACTGTATGACCCAACTACCTCACATGCTGAAAAAGGCAAAACTGGAGAGAGTAAAAAGATTAGTGGTTCCCCGGGGGGTGGGAAGGAGGGATGAACAGGAGGAACACAGGAGATTTTTAGGGTGGTGAGATTCATCTGTATTGTACTATAATGGAGGATACAGGTTATCATATATTTGACAAAACCCATAGAATGTACAAGCAAAGAGTGAACCCTAATATAAACTGTGCACTTTAGTTAATATCATATAGCTGTTGGCTCATCAATTGTAGCAAATGTATGGAAACAGAGTTGAAAGGGTTGAGAGCGAAGATGGGAACTCTCTGCACTTTCCCTTCAATTTTTCTCTGAACCTATAACTGCTCAAAAAATAAAAGTCTTAGTTTAAAAAAAAAAGGCTGAAGAGAAGCACATTATTTCTCAGCATCATAGCATCTCTCTAGATGATAGTCTCCTTGTTGTGGGGGAAAGATCCTCTCAACACATTATAACAACTCATTGCTCTGATTGTGACAACCAAGGAATATACGAAAGGCCAATTTAAACATGTCAGCGGGTTCGAAGGACAAAGCGACTTTGTGTCACAATAGAATTCATCCCTTGGAACGTGGAGATGGCAGGAGATAAAACAATACTCTTTATCACCGGCAGATTAACCGGCAAGGACATGTTCTTTCTGTTTATCCTATAGGCTCCAAAGGACAATGAGCCTTTTGTCTTTACACCTGTTGCAGGGAAGGAGCCTAGGACAGAGGTGTAGTGGGGTTTATGTGAGGCCATGCAGTTCAGGTTTCTTACCTGCATCTCTGATGGTACACCCTGTTTCATAAAGGAACTTGGAGACTGAGGGAAAGGAGCAGGTCCAGGTGTTGCTTGAGGAGAAAGTGAAAATATACAAATCTTTGTTGGAGAGAAATATAGCAAAGCTGCGTCATGCTTCGGCTTTCAGCCAGACATCAGAGTTTTTTGGGGGTCTTGCTCTTCCTTATCCTCAGCTTCTCACTCAGCACATGGTAAAGGCTGGACAGAGGCTTGCTGAATGAATGAACCTCGAGGACTTTGCTGTAAGAAAAAGAGTGCAGAAAAGTGATTTGTCAAAAGTGACACTAGGTTTATCCGGCTGTTTCACTAAAGTTTCAAAATACCCATTTTTTGGTGGGACTGTGTGCATTGATGTCTTCCTTCATTCTAAACCCTTGCTTGTAATGGAATCTGTTGGTTTTGACTGGTTTCTTCAGGAACAAACCCTCCAATTTCCTTTGGGGTAGCCAGCCTTTCCCCTATTCTTAGTATGGGAAGTCGGAACTTAATAATTCCTTTTAACACTTCCTTTTTTCCCTGGAGAGCTGCTTGATTTGCATCTGTTCAGCTGTATCATCCCAAGGGGATACGGTCTGTGGCCTCAGCTCAGCCAGTCAGAGCACTGTTTCCCTTTGCTGTCAGTAGGATCAGAGAAGGACACATATCTCAAGTTAGACCCATGAGAATTCCACCTGAGATTTTGCTGGACTGATGTGAAATGTTATTTTTTGGCCAGGATTAATAAATTGGTAAAACACAAGCCTAGAGTTCTGAAACCAGCCAAGCCTAAAGTCAACACATTTCCTGGACCCTTGAACAATATCAGCCACTAAATTCCTAGGACTTCAATTGCCTTACAACAAATTATAATTTACCAATGTGTCCATTTATTCTCCCTTTTATTGCAATTCTAAGTCTCCACTGTTCTTTTACATGCTGATGTCCTTCAGATTAGAATTGAGGAGGAAAATTCTGACTGGGAGGTGGTCTGTCCAGAGCCCCAACCACTCTCTGGTCTAATCGCACCTCCAAATGGACAAAGAGAACATCTGAAATGGAGAGCCCTAGAAATACCACTTCCAAATTCCAATAAAAGGCAGAAGTATTTGCTGAACATCTCACTACACCATGAATTCAAAAAAAAATTGTGGCTTAGACAAAGTTGGCATGGGGTAGAGTCCTGCTGAATAGATTGAGACATCAGAGAATGGGCCCTTGGGCCACGCCTGGCACACGCTCCAAGGACATGGCCTGATGCCATGGCTCCCCCTCTGTCTCAATGCTCCATTAACACCTGGAGTGGAACTCAGGAGCTAGGGCAGCTTGCACTTGAAAAATAACCTCAGCATCATGGATGGGCTTGAAAAAGGAAGAGCAATGTTCTGCATCTCTTGACCCCACTCTAGCCATTAAATCTAGTAAGAACTAACACCTATTGTGTGTTGCTGGACCAAGCAAGGTACTGAGTACTTTTCTGGCATCAGCCCCTCTAACCCCCATCACAACCCTGTGTTGTATAAGTCAAATGGTGCCTAGAAAACTTACAGAGCTTGCCCTGGATCACTCAGCAGGGCTCAGACCAAGTAGAATGACCCAGGTGCTCAATCACAATATTGACTGTTCTTTGTAGCAAAGAATAAGAACAGTGCCTGGATCATGGCTTTAAAATTGTGAAAATTAATGTTGCAACTGAGAAGAAGCCTCAACATCACTTAGCATGGTGGAAAAGCTGAGGTACAGGGAATGATATGACTTCCCCAAAGTCAGCAAGTGAAAGCACGGGGTGATGAAATTTGGTCCTGGTCCACCAATTCTTTCTCAGCAAGCACCCTGTTGTTTTAGGATATATGCACACTGTACCACATACAGGCATCACCAGTATAGATGCACAGATACCAAAGTCCTAAAATATTTCCAGACCAGTTAGCAAACTGCACTGTCCAGAGACTATCTCCCTCTCCCTTCAGGATTCCTGACCTCCCCACAATTAATCAATTAAAGGGTTAAGGTTTAGCATCACAGGGGGCTCCCAGGACCCTGCTCCATCCCAATGACCAGCATCCATTCAGAGTACTCAACACCTCTGCTGTTTCAATTAAGTGTTTTTAATATGAGTTCTTTACTAATACAAAAGCCAGCACAGATTATGGGAACGTCATGGGTGAATTGCAGGACACATCTCAGTCATTAACATTGTTATCTCAAATATAACAGGTAGACAAAAGCTGATCATGCTAACCGTGCCCAAGACAACAGGGAGAGGCCAGAATGGGAAAAGTTCATCTCTGGCATTCAGGGACTCTGGAAGCCTTTCCCTCCTCTTCCAGGCAGCATTCAAGCGTACTAGGTTAAGAGATGCCCTCCCTGCAGAGAGGAAAAGTTCAGGGTATCTGAATTGTCTATGGGAGGCAAGATAGGTCTTGCCTCTCTCACCTTCCCTGTTTCTTTCTGGATGGCAGCCTCAAGCCATGGGAGCTAAACTGACAGCTGGGAAATACAAGGACAGGAAAGTTTGCCAGACACAGGGACAGGCAGGCCAAGGCTCCTTTCAAAGTCAGCGGGAAGTAGAAACACATCAGCGCTGTCAGTGACTAGAGACCAAAAAGGACCAGTGGAGCCACACTTTCTGACTCTTCTCAGTGTCAGAGATGGATAAATGAATTGCTTATGGAAGAGAGGCCCTAATGCATATCTTGCCCACTATGAGTCAAGTGTGCCCTGCTAGTCAGTCTGAAACCACCTAGATCCTAATGGTCTGCCTTCATAAGATGATGGTATATTGGTCAGTTTTCACAGTGCTATAAAGAACTACCTGAGACTGAGTAACTTATGAAGAAAAGAGGTTTAATTGACTCATAGTACTGCAGGCTTAACAGGAAGCATGACTAGAAGGTCTCAGGAAACTTACAATCATGGCAGAGGGCAAAGGGGAAAGAAATGCATCTTAACATCTTACCATAGCAGCAGGAGAGAGAGTGAAGGGGGAAGTTCCACACACTTTTAAACCATCAGATCTTGTGAGAACTCACTATCATGAGAACAGCAAAGGGGAAATCCACCCCCGTGGTCCAATCATCTCCCACCAGGCCTCTCCCCCAACATTGAGAATTACAATTCAACATGATATTTGGGTGGAGACACAGAGTCAAAACATATGAGACAGTTTGCAGAGGCCTGACTGAGATTATTGCTGTCTTAAGACCCTGAGTATTGTGGTGTTACAATGGATAATGTTACAAAGCAATGGGTAAGGTGATGCCTTTATTTGCATTTAGCTTTATGATTGCATTGGAACTACACTGTATTTATTACAGGATAATGAGAATAGAATCAAGGCAGACTTAATAAATGTACGTCATACGAGGGATAAAGTTTTCCAGTGGTTTAAATAGAGAAACATGATAGGAAAATGGCTCATTACACCCAACTCAGTGTTTCAGATGGGCTGATCTCAAATGAATCTATTTTTTCTAAGTAAGCATCTATATTTTTTAAATTGATACATAGTATTTGTACATGTTTATGGGCTACATGTGATATTTTGTTACAGGTATATAGTGTGTAGTGATCAAATCAGGGTATTTAGCACTATCCATCACCTCAAGTAGTTACCATTTCTTTGCACTGGGAATATTTCAAGTCTTCTCTTCTAGGTATTTATTTTGAAATATACAATAGATTGTTATTGACTATAGTTACCCTATTCCACTATTGAACATTAGGCCATATTCCCTCTATCTAACTGTATGTTTGTACCCATTAACCAGTCTCTCTTCATCCCTCCCTCAACCCCCACACCCTTCCCAGCCTCTGGTATTTGTCATGGTAGTCTCTTCCTTTAAAGGAACTTTTGTTCAGTCAAAACCATGCTCATAGCCTGGCGCAGTGGCTCACGCCTGTAATCCCAGCACTTTGGGAGGCCAAGGCAGCTGGATCACTTGAGGTCAGGAGTTTGATACCAGCCTGGCCAACATGTAAAACTCTGTCTCTACTAAAAATACAAAAATTAGCCAGGCATGGTGATATGCACCTGTAATTCCAGCTACTGGGGAGGCTGAGGCAGGAGAATCACTTGAACCTGGGATGTAGAGGTTCCAGTGAGCCAAGATCATGCCAGTGCACTCCAGCCTGGGCGACAAAGCAAGGCTTCGTCTCAAAAACAACAACAACAACAGCAACAAAATCACCATGCTCATGCAGCAGTTACTAGGTTTCAGCAAAACAACTTTGCAACTACATTTAACAAATGCAATCATTTTTTATTTTATTGGTTTTGTGTTGCTTTAATTTTTCCTCTGATTCAATTTGACCTTTATAATAGTTTACATCTAGTTTTATATGTATACATTTAAGTAACATAAAATGATTCAAGTCAACACTAGAGACCTACAATTATTTTTTTCTTTAAATGAAATCTTAACTTTGAGAATCAGTAAGGGATGCTCTTAAGAAAGGCATAGGCATCTGTAACATACTGGCATCTCATTAACCACTGTTAAATGAAGCACTATTCATCCTAGAACATTCTTCATAATTGCCTACATATGAAGCAGTTCAATTGTACATCTTGGGGTTAGTGTATGCGCATTTAAGTCTCCCAGTGTAAGCCTTGTTTGAAATCCCTGTTAATGACAATGGTTTTCTAAGAATATTAGTACATAGAGTTTTACTTTTTTGATTGACAGTCATTCCTCCTGTTTACCAGTTGATGGTTTATTACCATAATAACAATACAGGTTAAGCATCCCTAATCTAAAAACCCAAAATCTGAAATGCTCCCAAATCCAAAGCTTTTTGAGCATCATGATGACACCACAAATGGAAAATTCCACACCTGACCTTATGTGATGGGTCCCAGTCAAAACAAAGTGAAAGCTTTCTTTCATGCACAAAAATATTTAAAGTATTACATAAAATTACCTGCTACACATATAGGGCATACATGAAATATAAATTCATACAAATATGAACTTATATATGCCAATATTCCCAAATCAAAACCCACAACACTTCTGTTCCCAAGCATTTGGATAAGGGATACCCAGCCTGTAATACCAATCATTTATTGTAGTATTGAAATACTTCACAAATATGGTGTTAAACATTTTATTTATGTTATTTCGTTTAACCCACACAATTTACTAAATGACTTAAGTAAAACTGTCATTTTACAGAGACTTAGAAGGATTGTCATTTGTCCAAAGTTAACATAACTGGAAATGAAGGAGCTGAGATTGAACCCAGATATGTCTTCCTTTATC